ACATACGGACGGACGGACGGACAGACAGACGGACATGGGTAGATCGACTCGGCTATTGATGCTGATCAAGAATATATATACTTTATGGGGTCGGAGGTGCTTCCTTCTGCCTGATACATACATTTGCATTTTGCACATATGCAATATACTCTTTTTACCCATTTTCAATGGGTTCAGGGTATAAAAATACTTTTACAATGCCCGAAGAAGAAACGAGAGTCATAACATTTTTACAGAAGGGAATATGCTTAACAATTAAAAAAAACGCCTTAATGTTTCAAATATTATAATCGCATTGAATGGCAAAAAACTTATTTACGTTATTGACATTTCAAATCAGATAAGGAAATTTGCCCACTTACATAGGATACCTTTAAACAATAAAGAGGGCCTAGTCGGGAGTTCCCGAATAGGGGATAGCCTTAATCCTAGTCTACCAATAATAAATGTAGCTCGCGCTTAGCGAGAACTGCTTTAGCAGTAATAAAAATAAAATTGAAAAATAAATAATAGTTTGCTCGGTAGGAAAGGGTTCCTCGCAACAGTCCACATCGATTGCCGCCACATCTACTCAACACCAGCACTAATAATTGAGTCTTACTGAGAAAAAAAAAAGGATTAAAATAGCATTACAGAAAAGAATATAAACTCAATTCCAATGCTGTTGATTAATACCAAAGAAGACGTGCATGAATGTGTGTGTGTGTGTGTGTGCGTACAGCAATTCTTGCAATTTGCGCCAGCTGCCCCAAACTCGTGGTCAGCCAAAACACATTTTCTATAATAACTTTTGTATGATATTAATTAATATTTCAACAGTAAATCTTATTGTAAAAAATTGTGGCTTAAATTGGTGGGCAGGATTCATTAATTTGTTTACTTGATTTCTTTGCAGTTTCTGCTATTAATGCCCAATGTTAAAATGTTAATAAGATCAGAATGTGTTTAAAGTCAAATATTATAAATATTTCATATGACAACTTGATTTATAAATTACTAACCAGTAGACACAATAATTGTACAATTACTAATAATGATCATATTAGAAAAAAGAATCAATAGATGCAGCCATGATCTAACAGGAGAGTCCATTAACGGAAATAGAAGATATGTTGTCACTGTAGCTGATGAAATATCTAAACTTCAAGACTAACACCATGACAAATCTGTCAGACTGTATAGGCAAAACATTATTATTATGGCAACTTCCACCCCCACTAGCCAACAGCATAAATAAAAATTGAATTATCCACGATCTAACCTGAATTTTAATAATCGATGAGGACGTTCTAGTTAGGAGGGGGATGAGTTAACACATAAGTTACTGAAAATGCCAACATATTGATCAGTCTTCTTACATTTGGTTCCCGTCCGTGGCAAGTCAACGTGCTGAAAACCGCTGACATAAAGACGTTGCGTATGCAACTTAGGTGCATGCAGGCGCGGCTTCTGGCCGACTACCGTGGGATCGCAATTGGGCTCAAAAAATCGGCAAAACGACAGCCCAAGTATATAATTGTGAAATCAGCACAACCAATACAGTTCCCAAAAAACACGTACCCCTGCGAAATGCACAAGTTTTGCATTTTCGCAGACGCAACAACTCCAAGCTAGCGACGTCGAAGCAAACATACAGAGGTTTCATTGGTTTATAATTTAGTCAAGGTTCAGTTTTGGTAAATTTATATAAGCTGCAGTCAGCTTATTTGCGTTCAATGTTGGACCAATTGTTGGCTCTGCAATTTTTTGCGTGCACTTCCATTATCTACGTTTGATCAATAGATTTTCGCTCATTGGGTTTGACGTCGGTTAGCATATAGAAATTTTATTAAGTTCATGTCCTATCGTAACAATATATAATAAATTCGATTTTATTTAAAATCATAATTATTAAGATGGATTCAAAATAAAAATATGGCAACAAAGGAATGTTTTGACTATTCAAAAAACAAACGCAATATGTATATTTAAGGCATAATGCGTTAAAATTATTTAATAATAGTATGTAAATTATACCTAGAATCTTTAAAGTTAGAATGAATTTTATAAGTGTACGGAGATTGCAACTTTTCATCTAGAAGAACTATAGACAACTATTTCAAGCTTAAGAATTTTATTAGCCTGTTCGAAACTCTTGTTCTCAGGGACCATAAAAGCATGAGATATTCAATGTATAATATCCAATGGGACCATTTCGGCTCTCTTCAGCCTTCCAAAGATAGCGCAACCTCAGGTCAACTTCTATGTATGCGGATGTGTCTGATAGTGTAATCCTAGCAGCAGCAGTTGTTTGTATAAAAACGAGAAGAGGCGAGCTAGCACAAAGATTGCAGCTGGAGAGAAGAGACTACCATCAGCTTCCTTGGGATTGCTTACAGTGGTAAAGTCGCGACTCAGTTGCAGTGAGTTCTTCTACCAGCTTGACCATATGGTTAAAGTCAGTGATTGGAAAATCTCTAACAGTCTGCAATTGGCATATTTTCACAAGCCACAAGTCACATAAGATCGACATGCTTATTAGAGCTGAGACTTTCTTTGAACTTTTGTGTGTCCGTCGAATTAAACAAGGTCCGAGTTGTCCTGTTCTAGTCTCTTCTTCGCTGGATTGGCGAAGTTGAATCCAGTTGTACATCAGTTATGTTTTAGCTACTTTCTAAATAATTTACAATTTCAGTCAGCTTGGTAATTAATTACCTTGGTAACGTCTTTTTTTCTCACTTGAAAGTCGCTTTTCTTAAGATCCTGACCAAGGCGAATGTCCTTGACATTCATGAAAACATATTTAACGTAAGCTCACATGTCTGATCATCTAGATCAGATTCCAACTACTCCGCAATGCTTAATTACTCTTCAGTGTCTTAAGACCACAAAGCATATCGACGAAGATATGGGTTGTTTTCGAAGCGTCCTGATTTGATTTAGACTCTAGCTGACATCAAAAAGATGTATATGAAGGTCACGGTACATAAAGCAGGTCGAGATTTTCTGCATTTTTCCATTTTTGCCAATACGGCACATTTTTATGTTGACGATATATTTACTAGTGCTGAAGGCGAAGAGAACCTTCAAACGATTAAGTTTGAAGTATTTTACATTTGAAATATTGGCATTTGGGAAGTTCTCCATAATAAACACAGCCAACCCCATAACGATCTCAAAGCCTAACATAGCCAAAACACTTGTCGTGATGTTGTTGCCGATTGAAGATGCTTTTCAATTTAAGCTAGACAATTCATTCATAGGTCTCAGAGGCTATTTACCTGCTTGGCCTGTTAAGGCCTCTGATCAATAAGGATCCTACTCAAAGCGCTTTGGGTTCACAAATTAATCTGGGATACTGCCTTTCCTCGGCATTTGGAAAGTGAAATTATCTTAGATTGTTGCAAAGAATAAAGATACCATGATATGTGTTAGCACTGCCAACTTTACCGATAGCAATACTTGGATTTGCTAATGCTTCAATAAGAGCGTTTGGCGTATGCGTAAATAAACGCAACTATCTGAAGTCAGGCCTCATTGAATTCCGACACACCTTTCTTCGTAGACGGCATTTGTATTGAATTGAGTGGCTAAACCTACAATGCAAAACGCAGCAGATATCGTTTGGAGACGTTTGGAGTTGTTGACGAGTTATTTGTTTCGACTCGGTTTGATGGATATTCATTTTTAAATGAATCAAGATAATCCTGGCCCGTTAACCAAACAACATCTGATGACAGATGAGATGCGTACCATAGAAGAACACAAAACAGCTGTTTGACCATCAGCTATTGTATACCGATCTCTGAAACTATCAAACGATAAAAAATAAAGCAATACAGTACAACAAAATAGTTACAAGTCATCCAACGAACCAAATTTAAAGAGGACATCGATAAGATACAAACGGTCATTTATACATGAGTATAACGATCTTGGTGCTTGGACTTGCAAATGCTACTCTTTCGTATGATGCCATGCTTCCACTACTGAATAAAAGCTCATAAATCGCTAGAGGCTACGTTTGATGAACCGAAATGGCGGCTCAAAAGCACTTGGGAGTCTTCTTTGCGAGTAAATGCTCATGGAGCAGATAGTGAGTACTCGATACTTTAAATGCAAACCTCGTCCGACAATTATGGGAAATTTACCAGCACATCCATTCCGAGCTATTGTTCTATCTGTTCCGTTGATTTTTGTGACAATCTGCCCCATCAATGTCTGATCGGCAGAGCGCCGGCGGTGCACGCAGAAGAGGAAGGCGAATCACCACGGCCAGTGCTTTAAAATTTAAAGGTAGATCCACAAGATTGTACGACCGCGAGTTTAATAAAGCCCACAAGCGTTTCATGGTGGCCGCTGTTGTTGCAGATCTGCGTCATTAATATAATTTGGATTAATTTGATGTCAAATGTAAGTTCGGTTTGGGGTGGAGCGAGATCGCATAAAACTTTAATCACTCGATAATTGAGCGAACTCGCCCTGCTTCACCCTAAATGTAGCCATAAGAATTTTTGTAAAACCATCTTTAGTTTTGTTATATATACTTATATACATTTTCAGTATCTAAGGTAAAATATTTTCCATAAAACACACATATATCAATTGTTCAATGTACGTCGTAAACGAAGTGACGAAAATCAGCATCGACCAAATTTGCCAAATGACTCAGTTGTATGTATCAGCATCAACATATAATGGCTTTTGGAACCAACCCTTTTCCGCTTTAAAAAAAATGTAATAACAAATGAATTCTTGACATTTCAAACATATTTTCGCAAAGGACAGATAAGCTCTCTAAAAAATTGACAGTACAAATAGAAAAAATTAAATTCAGCCAATAAAAACAAGTCAACGGAAACCCCGAAAGCATACATACAATATTTTAAGCAACCATATTAATATTCAACGATATTCAACACGATTTTTGCATTTTTGCATATATAAATATCAGATAAAATTAAACCATAAACATACTTAACTAAATGTTAAAAAACATATTTTCAATATTTGCTTCTTACTTTTCCTTATTTTTACTGGACACATTGCGCTCTATACCAACCATCAAATCTTCGAACCACTGGGCCATTGTCTGTTGTTTTTCAACGGGTTGTCCACGGATAATAGTTTCCTTCAGTGAGCTTTAACAGAGGCATTATTGGGCACGTTACTTATTGTTTAAAGTCATAGCATTACCGATAATAATCCTCGTAGAGCAGTATAAGTACCAATAATGGGCGAGACATAGACCATTGGTTCCGGCAGTCCTCAGCCAGTACATTGTTTAACAATGAGGACATCATGCTTTGTAGTAGCTCAGAATTAAGTTCAACCACCTGTTAACGTAAAGTAAGCCGACGAATTCGTAGTGAAAAAAATACTGAAATAAGAAAGAACGGCAAAAGTCGGCATGCCGAAATTGATGTATTCAAAGACTTGTGGCTTTTATACAAAAGCTTTGTTATCAACTAATTGTTTCTATAGAAGCTATATTACTTGTATATATTAGGATAACAGTGTAGCTCGCAAGTAGCAGACACGGCAATATCGACTGGACTAATATATATCAAAAATATGTATATACTCAATAGGATCGGATACCTCTACTTTGATACTACTTTGATGCTATTTATTCCCATTTTTACCGATGTTCATTTAATTTCATTTTAATAATTTTTCAATTTAATAATACTAGTATACTAAAACATATTAAATAGATAAACATGAATGAATAGATAAAAAGAAAATGTTCAGCTTGACCAAGGGAGCACGAAAAATGTTCAGGGTATATCCTATTCAACTAGAGCATTTTTACTTTTTCCTTTTCGTCGTTTGCGATATTGGGCAGGGTGAACGTAGATAAGCCGTTGACTCAATAACTTGTCTAATTTAGGAGTGTTAAATCATTTTTGAAAGTCATCCAATGTAAGGACTAAGCTATCCAAATAAATAGAAATTGTGACAAATAGAAAGCCAAGAAGTCTTAAATCATCACCATTTCATTAACGGTTATAGACTTATACTTATCAAAATTAACACAGCTTCTGCTAACAAACAATAGGCCATGATCTGATTGTCTTAAGCAGTTTGTAGAGACTGAATTTTAACACGTCACACACGCGCGCAAAAGATTGTTGAGTATGCCATGGTACCCATTACCTTATCAAAGACAAACTATATAAATAATTTTGAACAGCTCTGATTTAGATAAAAAGTTTAGCAGTTGGTTCGCAAATGTTAGCTACACTAACAAAGTACCACCTAATGTAAAGGTTATTTTAGTTGTTTGCACCATATTAATGGTATCGTAGTCGCATGAAAATCAACATAGTTCGTATGTCCAAAAAGAGTGGATGACAATGCAGCCCATCAACGTCCCTTATGTTCTAAAAGATCCCAAACCAGAACTTGCGATTAACCACTCTACGAAAAAGGCGTGGCGCTTTGAAATCAATAATCCCTTTCTCGCCACGTCGAGCGTAACGCTACAACAACTAGTTCCAAGTTCGCATACCGAAACGATATTACCAACGAGAAAGTACGGATATCTTCGGCACTCTAAAGAGGTAATACATTCCCTTTTGCAGATACGTGAGAATATTGAAACTTGAAAATGCTGAGTTTGTTGAAAATAACTTTAACAAGTAAGAGGTTCTAGTCGGGAGCTGGGGGATACCCTGAACCTTCTTCTTCCAACATCAAATGCATATATATATTCTAATTTAGAAGCTATATGTGAAGTTTGCTGACTTTAGCTCTTATTATTTACCAAAATTGCCCAAAAAACAGGAAAGCGATATCGATTTTTATCGATTGCTTGGAAACGGAGTAAGTTATCGATTATCGGAAACAAACTCGATCAGCGCAGCCACTAGGAGCAGCACCTATATCTAAAATTTCAAGCGTCTAGCTCTTATAGGTGCTGAGATCCTTGCGTTCATACATACGGACGGAAGGACGGACAGACAGACGGACATGGCTAGATCGACTCGTCAATTGATGCTGATATATATACTTTATGGGGTCGGAGATGCTTCCTTCTGCCTGTTACATACATTTGGATATAAACACTTAGATGAGTAACGCCATACAACAAAATTCTACTATGCAGCTTGATTTTTTGAAAATTGAGAACGTAAACGAAATCAATAGCATTGCGCTCTCACAGCCGAGAGAACGAAAAAGCTAAAAATAGAATTTGCTCTCAACTTCGGCTCTATGAGGGCCATGCAAGCAATTATGTTTGTATGCGTCTGAATATACATACATAACAGCATATTTGAATGTGTTGTTATCCACTGCTCTGCCAAAGTCTCTGGCTGGCAAAGAAACAATTTTCTTAGTTTTTTAGCGCAGATCACGACCTACCCAAAATTTCTGTTGATATATGAATGCATTTTGTGTACTCCGTACAACAAAATTTGTATTTTTAAGTCGATGCAAATATTTATGTAATTTTTTATATTTGAAATTATTAATTAAATGATTATTTTTTTAAAGATACATTTAATTTTTTTTTTTTGTTAATTTTATTATTTTTGTTGTTCGAATTATAAAGAACAAAGTACGCAGGGAACACCGCGAGGAGACCATTATAATTATAATGGGGTCATAACTAAATATGACCTTCGGGTATTTTCTGCGGAGCCAACCTCAGTACACAAAATGCATTCATATATTAACATAACATAACATAACATTAACATATATAACATAGGTGGGATAGGTCATGATCTGCGCTAGAAAACTAACAAAATTAATTTCTTGCCAGCTAAAGCCAGAGCAGTGAATAACAACACATGCATACGTACTTTGAAGATCTTATGCATGTATAATTCACGCATACAACGAAAGGTGCACGCACGCTATTGGATGAGACAAGAACTTTTCTCAAGCATGCACTGTCCAAAAAGAAAAGTGAAATCAATCTATGTGTGCTATTTTCTTAACATAGTTATTGCGCAAGAAGCGCCTTGTGTAAAAATTAAATAAGTTCTTAAATTTTCGTTAAATCGTTAATATCTAGGGTAATATATCATTTAAATAAAGCATGCATTTCATGGATAAAGCACAAGCACTTTGCGTCGATCGTAAGTTCTAACTTTTTCGCTCAATGTACTTCGAAAACGAAGCGACGCAAAGCAGCATCGACCAGCTTTGCTGAAGGCAGGCTGGCGACTAACTTCGTAGCTTGTGTCAGCATCAGCAAGCCGCGACTTCGGCATTCGTTCGCCTGGTCTTTGGAGAACGAACAACCAGTCGGCTGGCATGCTGTACGAAGCCTCTAAGGCCAGATGAAAGGCCAGGCTAGAAATTTTGGCTTACTCTCTTCCATATGACTTGTTAATAGAACGGCATCGGTGCATATTTTATTTGCTAACTTTACACGAAACTGCTTTGAATTACTCTTAGTGCTCTTTCAACTTGTCCGTGTGGGTTTGTGTCCGCACAAGCAAAATTGCACACAAATTCAATTTTTCTCAAGAGTCGGTGGTTTTCTTCCCTTTTGAAGGGATGATTAATATGAAATAGTGAAAAGGTTTGCCATGTCGATGTGAAATTCTTGCATTTTAGCTCGTTATCGTTGGTAACGGTACCTATGCGTTGGCATGTGTGCATTTAAATATTCACGCTTACTTGCATATTTTGTATATGATGGCATTTATGCGTCTGTGTGCCTGTTGGTGGCCTGCCTGTCCCTTGCAAATTTAACAAGATTTGAAGTTGTGATTTCTGAATTTTTTCTACTTATTCCTAATACTTCTTAGTGTACAACCTGGCGACACCGAAATTGATTCTAAGCGCATTATAGGACACATTTAGTTCTAATCAAAATAAAACTATATGTAAACATTTGTTTTATTTTGCATGATAACTAGACGGTATCGAAAAAATAAATATACTCTGTGTACGTATGTGTACACTGTGTAGTATAGTGTCAAATTTGGGGAATTTACCGATTGAGTTTCCAAGCAACTTTTCAATGACTTAAAACAAACTGCATTTAACATTTCAAATAGCTCTCATAGGGTCTGAGACCGACAAATTTATTCATACGGACAGACGGACGGACGAACGGACGGATAGACTGACATACAGGAGGACAGTTGAAAAGCCACACGCGCTCCTGCAAATCAAAATAATATCTCTCGGGCAATTTTAAATTTCATACATTTATACATCAAGAGAGGTGAGTTTCATATTCAATATCCTACAACCAATATGTTGTTAAGCCCTTAAGTAATTGAAAATGGGTAAAATGAGAATAATAATTTTGTGCAAATGAATTAAACAGGCGACAAGAAACATCCCCTACACTGTGTCGATCTGGCCATGTTCTTTGTCTGTCTCTCAGGTATGTACATGTACATATAAACGCGTTTATCTCTGAATTCCACCTAGATTTATGCTGTACAGATATAGATTACTTTCCTTTTTTTGGTACCGCACTCTGTTCCCTACAAAATTAAAATGGAACAAAATTTGTAGATAAATGGGCTGATAAGATCGCACAATAAACACATATAAACGGCGAAAGAATCCCATAGTGTGTGTCTAGGAAAAGAATCAGCACAGTCGCAGTTCGGCATTGGCTTCAGGGGATCTCAAAGTCGGCTACTCCGACTGGAACACCTTTAAATGTTTGTATTATTTTTCGTAATGGTTTCCAGATGGTTGGGCTGAGACTGGCAGTGGGCGACGCTTCCTGTGTGTAAGCAACGAGCGCACGAGTCGCGTGTCGTAAGGTCGAATAGGTTGTTGGGAGAGCAATTTATAACAGCTTGGGTATTACCTCCATCATCATTCCAGGGTTGCTGTCTGAGATTTGCAAAATTGTCTGTTTATGTTTTACGGAGAATATTTGGAGTTCAACATACATTCAATAATGTAGTGGGTAATGCTATCATAATGTAAAATTGGTTGATCACCACCAGTGTTATTTGACTCTATGAGTTGTGAGTCGGACCACTTAAGTTTTTTGAAACCGGAGACTGCCACGATTTTTAGCGCTTTGCCTAAAAACTCTAAGCTTCTCGCCAACCTGTTTTGTTCACTTGTAACTCGGACAATAAGTTGCTTATGTGCTCGAAATCTATGTCTACGAGTTTTCGCATGAAAGAAGTCTCACATGCCCAATGTCTCATTCAATGAACTTTGGAAATCTGAGATATTAGATGAGGGCCTTACGAAAACATGTTGGCTTCAAGCTAATAGGTCGCCGTCAACTATTGCCATCTAATCGACTATTCGGTAATACGAGCATAACTGCGAGAAATAGACGTACCACGAGTATAAGGGTATTTATCTCAATATGTCCTTGTTAACCAACCTCCAGTTAATTAAGACAGCGGTCCCAAAGTCTGTCCCGACTTTTTGTTTCACGCACAATGGACTAGCTTATTACCGAGTCTTCCGTTTGTGTTTACTAACGCATTGCCTCCTATGCGCTGTTTTCTCTTGTCTGGTTTTCCCTAGACCGCTGAATGTTTTGTCGTGGCTTCCCCTTCCTATCTTTAAACACCTTGCCAATTCTATGTACGTACTGAGCTGAGACTGGTGTTGGTTCGTTTTTGAACAGACCCTGCAGTTTAACACAATTTCGTTGGCTAACTTTGTCATTTTGGGAGAAAAGTAATTAGAAAGATATAGTAATGATAATGACCTGGTTAACATTCTCTTGACCAATCATGTGCGCTGTTGTGTTCCGCCATGAGAATCTCACGCATATAGAACTGGCTCATTGTCACTAAACTTTATTATATGGCGTGTTTTGTTGCCGAACATAATGAAGTTGCGCTTGAGGGGGGAAACGGCCCACTACAATTATTTAATTTCTAAAAAAGTTTAACGGTTTTTCCGCTGTTTCGACCGTGTAGGTCAGGGACAGCTCAATGTTGATATTGGCTGCATCAGACGTTTCACAGTGGTATTCTAACACGCTGACGTTCTGTAACGACAAGGCATCTGCAATATCTTATATCGTTATTGAATTTTATCCATTCGTTTAAGAGCATTGCAATTGCTGTGTATATTTTCTGATATTATTATTAGTTTTTTCTGGTCCAAAATGAATTGTTGTTACGGTTGTCGAGTAGAGGTATTGGCAAGTGGTGTGGCATGTTATAGGTTCAAGCCCTAATGAGGGAACAATTTTCCAGTTTTACTGCCAAAGCAAACGAGCTCATAGCACTAGCTGCATTCAGTGTTGGTAGAAGAGGGTTCAGGGTATCCCTTAGTCGGGTATTTCCGACTAGAAAATCTTACTTATTTCATTTTTTTATTACAGCTAAAGCAAACGAGTTCGTAGGGCGAAGTGCATCTGATGTTAATAGAATAGGGTTTAGCGTAGATTATAGTATATTCTCACAAATTACTTTAAAATTTGTGGCTTGGGTTAGTTGGTAGTTGATTTATTGATTGAATTTATAACTATGGGGTTGCGACGGGGGTGGCGATAGCCACTATTTTAGAAGCTATATGTGATGTTTGATGATACTCTTGAAACCTAGAATATTCGCCAGAAAACATAATTTAATATCGATTCTTATTGACTGTTTAAGGTGTATGGCGATGGCAATCGGTTGAAGCAGTAACCATTCAACGTACATACGGACGCAAATGGCCAAACGCAGCAACCACTATTGATGCTGACCAATATTATGTACACTTTTTATGTCAGAGATGTTTTCTTCAGCCTGTGACATACATACATTTGCAAAAATTCATAATACCCTATCTTAACCCATTTTCAATGGAATCAGGAAATAAAAAGTGTTGAGCCAGGGCATTTGAAGTTGGTAGAAGAGGGTTCGGGGTATCCCCTAGTCTGGCACAAGATCTGTCTTATTTGTTTTTTCAGAAGACCATAAATGAGGTGTAGTCACTGCAACTGATGAAAAACCTACAAAGAGAACACATCCTATTTACATATCTCGTTGGTCTTTCTCTCAAATTGTGCAGACCAGCTACAAAGATTAGGAAAATGGAGACCCCGACTAACGCCGAAAACCGTCAAGCGAAGCAACCAATTCGCACACACAACACAATCAACCGCTGCTTTACCGCATACTGTGATGCTACAATGTTGCACAGAAGTTTTCTTAGCTTTTAGATAAGACAATTACGATATTTCGTTGAGCGCAATCGTGTAAAGTACAACGTTGCGAAGAGACTTAAATAAATAAAGCCGATGTATGATGAAACCAGCACCTCCCAGGCGGCCGCCTTACATGTTTGTTTCTCGCTCAGACCAAAAGAAGAACTCAGGGCATTGAGCAGCAATCGCGGTCAAATAAAACTCTTCCTCTTTCTGCTAGCTGATCGCCTAAGATGCCAATGCGCATCACATGATATGGGGAGCTATAAGCGGTAACCAAATGGGTAAGTGACTTCACACTACATTTATAGTAATAACATAAGCTTACTAGATCGGGAGAATGACTGCTCTATCGGACAAATCAATAAAATAAATAGGCGGCTCAGGAGCTCTATAATAACATAGAACCTTAAGGGAATTGTCTTCAGATGGAATGACTTCCTTGAAACCCTTAGCAAGAAAGCTGTTCAACACCGAAAAGACGGTACGGATCCTTGGCTCACCTACAAATCTGCCTAAATCCTCTAAGAGATGAGGATAAATAATAGTGTTAATCGAATGAGAACTGTAGAAATCTGCCTAAATTCTCTAAGAGATGAGGATAAATAATAGTGTTAGTCAAACGAGAACTGTAGAAAAATTACAAGTCTTCCAGAGGAAATTGTTGTAAAAAAGACTATTGAAGAAGATCACATTAAGCACAAGGGAAACCAGCAGACCGGGAGCCTCACTTCTCAGGGTGTGGTTGTGTGGCCATAGAAAATTGTAGCCCATTATAAGACTATGTCTTGATGCGACCCTTTGGGAGCGAATGTCACAATCCTCAAATTAAGCTCATTGATGTTGTCAACGATAAAAGGTTACCACGTAACCCCGACAAACTCCATTAATTTGTTTCACTTGGAGAAGGTCTCTTTCTCCACAGCAACCTCACGCTACTGTAAAATTTTCACATCGGGCTAGATACAGATACAACAACCATATTTATACCATGCCTGTGGAGACTTATTTGAAAGAACATGGGGACTCCGTTCCAAAATGATGTACTAATCTCTTAATACTCTGAATATGGTACGGACGTATGCCCCACACAAACATACATATGTATGTTTGTAGATCTCAGGGCTATTTTCAAAGATAGGTAGAACGAGATGCACAGAAGTGCACATAAGTGAGAGCGAGACACACTTTGCACATGCATACGCACTATGTCTCTGGGCTGTAAGCACATTGTGCATCCTGCACTTATTTCTTAGTTTGAAGCTACTTTATATTGTTTGCTTTATGCTTGTATACATTTGCAGACATGTGAGAAAAGTAAAGCTCGTAAAATACATATATGTTTGATGAAAATATCTTAGAAAACAGAATAATAACATACTTTAACTTTAAATGCCGAGTTTGGTCAAGATTTTTTGAAAAGAAAAACGTTCGTACAAGTAATTAATATTCAACCGATTGTTCTTATATAATATAGTCCGATTCGGACGTTTTCGACATTCATATATATAGCCTGAAACAGAAATATGGAAAATACAGAAAAATATAGACTACCAGGGTATAACATTATTAAATTAATCAGGCATTTCAACTGAGATAGCGATCGAATTAAACAGATGACTAACACGCACAAGACAGGCAGATTCGGATGTCATTACCAACCCTAACAAGGTTCGCTCCCTTTAAATCCGAATGGGGCTATCAGATCTTCCCGGTCATCATGCAACATTGTTTCGGTATTTTAATTTTTGTCACTTAAGCCGCCTACTTAGAGCGAACTTTACTTGGGGTCGCAATCCACTCTTCTTTAAGAGTTAATTTGCTATTATCTCCTAACAAGGTTATCGTAATTTAGATTAACCCAAATCCTATCGACATAGTATTCTCTCCTCTTTTATCTTAAGGACAGGTCAAATCCTGCCCCTGGGAAGAGTTTTTGTCTCCTTTACTCATCAAATAATTTTAGAGCTATCATCTTTCAATCTGAGATTCATGCCATTGAGGTTTTTATCAGTTTTCTAACTAACCTCACTACTTGCCGCCGCTTCAGTCAACAACAAAAAATAGTTTCCTCGGCAGGCGTCAAACTCACGACAGACCACAAAAGCCATACCATTAGTTCTCGGTCAGAAAAAAAATAAAATTAAATAGCAGCACAGAAAACAATACAAAACAAAACAAACAATACAAAACAATAGAATTCGAAGTAGACGCGCATGAATGTGTATGTGTACATGTATACAGAAATTCTTCGAATGTGCGTCGGAAACACGTGCGCAGTCAAAATACCGACAAACAAAACCAAAATCGATTTACATGAAAATTTCACCAGTATATCTTGTTGTACAATAGAATATTTCTGTATTCTCAAAAAGTCAATTGCATCTAAATTGTATCTTAAATTGGTTGGCAATACAAGTTTGGGTGTTAACTTGATTTATACCTTTGTGGTGGTAGCGGCGAGGTGGCAATTGGTATAAAATGAATGATACTTGATATATATATAATATTATAGGAGCAACATTGATGTTTGGTGACTGTACCTCTTATTATTTACCCAATTTGTATAAGAAACAGGATATCGATATCTATTTTTATCGCTTGCTTGGGAACGGAGTAAGTTATCGATTATCGGAAATAAACTCGATCTGCGTTCATACATACGGACAGACAGACACGCGGACATAGCAAGATCGACTAGGCTATTGATGCTGATCAAGAATATATATACTTTATGGGGTCTGATATGCTTCCTACTGCCTATTATATATCTACATTTTGCCCAAGTGCAATATAGCCTTTTTACCTATTTTTAAAGGGTTCAGGGTACAAAAAGTAGTAGGCATAGAAAAATAAACAGACCTTAAGAAATTGTGAATTTTCCCGTGTCAAACTTCGTAGCTTCTTGTTTGGGAATGTTGAAACTGTAACGAAAAAGATGAACTAATTTATGTATAACGACATACTTTTGTTCAGATATACTTTTTAATTGAAGCTGCTTAAAGATGTATGATACAATGCTATCTAAAATAGTGCAACAGCTGATATAAATTGCCGAATCTGCAAAAAAGAGAAGTTTAACACTGTACATATATGTTGAGAAAATTATATATACCTAGTGCGGCAAGGCCCTTTGTCAGAGTTTCCAATACATACACAAATGCGCGTGGTTCTAAAGTGGCAAGATATGTCACATGATCCTGAGATAGGCAGTTTAATAAATTGTAATAAGCCGAGGCCAATTTCGGGTATTCCTATTTATTTTGTATATTTCCAAGTTTGTTATTTATATTTTTATTTAATTAAATTAAATTAATTAAATTACCAATAAATCACTTTGCCGTATGGACAGAATAAGCTTGGCGACAATATTAAGAACATTATGTAATGTATCATCACCATATAGTTTGAACACACCACAGTTGACATAGTTCCCTCCAAGCGCATTTTTTAAAATCAAGAAGCAGATTGATATTCCCTTTAGTTTCATTGGGTAAAGTTGATCAGTTGACACTTCCAGATGTAGAATACGATTGCCATATATGCAAATAAGTTTTGATGCCTCGCGAAATAGCAAAATACCCATAGGGCTAGAAACGTTTCCGGCTAAACGCTGTGTGCGGCAATGCACTAACTCAGCAAATAACTTTAAGACAGGCGTAGTAATAGCAGGTTCATGCGCCCACAATTCCACCGCACGAAGCAATATGGGTAAGTAATCAGTGTAGTAACTACAAGGAGTAAAATGTCAAAAGCTAGTTAACTTAGAAAAAAATGTAGAAACAATATATTTAATATTGTTGGTTGTACGCACAGCCATTCAAATAGCATAGTGTATTGGATACGAGCATTAAGCGGCAATGCTAGACCACGCAAGTCGCGGGCTAACCCAATAATCGCTTTTTTGACCTCATCATTTGGAAAACTTTTTGTATCCATTAGCACATTTCCAAGTGATTCAAACTGATCTAAAGAAATACATAAAATAATATATTCTTAAACATTTTTTAAGGAGCCGATTTACTTGTAAGTGGTGTAAGAAAATTGTAGAAACGTTCTTCATCCTCGCCCAAATCAAACATTAATAAACGACTTAAGGCTGTGTAAAACATTGTCCGACAACGCATTTCGTTCAGAGATGAGCTCGTGCCAAGAAAAGGAAAATGTTCGCTTGTGTGATGTGTTAACATGAATTGAACTTCCTCTAAGCGAGCCAATTTACGCACTGAATTAAAGTGCACTGACAGATCAGATAATAACACTAAAGTTTTTGTAATTATTTGCTCAGAACGACCCCAAAACTTAAGGTTAGTTATGCTAAAAAAAAAAGAAAAGAAAACGTTAGTTTTTTTTTTTAATCTAGGAAAGAAAATACATACATTTTACGGTTTATGAAACTTAGCAACATTTGCTCATCATTTAGTCCAAAAACTTCATTAAGGCGCTTGTATACAGTTGCTTTTTGTGCCTGGTCACTGCTATGCATTTTCCGAACCTGATCTAAAAAGCTCAAAATGGCTAGTTCCAGCTTCTCACAACCAGTTTGAGGAAGACGTGAGTCAGTTAAACTCATAAGTTGCAGTACACGAATAACAAGCTCTGCATCCATATTGTCATGTTCATCGCTGGTGGTCACAGAAAGTCTCCCCACAATGGCCGAACCAATTATATAAACCAACCAAGTCAATTGCAACTCATGGACCGTAATATCTATAGGGTTTGCATTGAGGCTCTGAATGAGATTTTCGTACTCACGTGCCTTTTGATCAAAATGTTGTACAAGAAGGTTGCAAGTCTTATTGTACTCGCAACGCTCGATAACCGATAACTGTTCAAGCTGTTGTTGTACCATACAAAGATCATCTAAGGGATCCTCCATATTATCACGTACAATTAAGGGCACAGCCTCTAAACGGGACTCAATGTATGCCTTTATCACTTCAGGTGTATATGTGCCAAGTAAATGCGGATCCGGCGATTTGACGTACGGTACTGAAGCAACCATACGCTGCCATAGAGTAAGTAAATAGTGCACGCTATTTGGAGCAAAGAGCCACATCTGCAAATGTGAACAATGTCCATTTCTTTTAAGCCTTTAACCGAAAATATACTCACATGTAACGATTGTACCGTAAACTTCGCGATTAATTCTATGGCTTCGGGGTAGCAAGGAACACCAATGAGTTCCCCAAGTTGATAATTGGATTTCAGACGCGCTAGCAAACGACAAAATTCATGGTAATTATCTGGATCGCTAAGACCCTAAAATAAATATTTAAGACATTGGTATTAAAATAAAGTAGTTACGAACTTACGTGCAAGTTTCTGAGTATATTTTTGACTCCTTCAACTAAGTTGGTCAAAAATTTCGTTCGCTCTGAGTTACTAAACAGAGATCGACGTACAGATGTCATTTGCACTAGGCACGAAAGTGAATAACTGGCTAAACCATTCGGTAAAATTTGATATAAATCAAAGAATAATTTTAATGTGTTTGTGTCAAGAAAAGCAGGACGCCAAGCTGTTGGTATCTAAGAAAAATCGATAATTATTTAAATTATATGTTTTTTAAAATATAACAAACCTGGACATTGTTCATATCATCAGCTGACTCATCAGTGGAACTACCAATAAAATCAAAGCTCAGGCAGTTTTTTGTTAATCGTAAGACTTGGGATATTAGCCTGCACAAAAACCAAAATAAATAAATAAGCAAAATGATTGAACATTTGATATTATTTGCAGTACAAAATAACTTTAATTTTCCAATAAATGGTCAGACATACAGAAAAGAGAACATGCTACAAGCACTATGTTTTAAACATAGTCTTTTTTGCGGTAACATTTGTGTTTTTCCTTACATTATTTAAAAAAAGCTTTGAAATTAATAATAACCATATACTTCATGTGCTTATATTTGGTTTGATGGAAGGCCTTTACTGTTTTCGGGCCAACCTCCGAACTTGCTATCAGCTATCACAATTGCCCAAGAAATGGTATGGTAAGCTATACTACCAGCTTAAAAGAAAATGCTTAAGAGATCACACTTAAACTAACAGTTCTACAAACAAAACGAACCCAAGGGTAACAACAATAACAAGTTGCAGAAAATAAACAACAGTTTCCAGTTAAGTTTATTTCAAACCGGCACCCTTAATAAGAAGACACAATATAAGGAGGAATCTCAGACATAATAATGGAAGAACTGCTGGATAAGATTACTGATAAATTGACAATAGAACCAAGACTTGACGAAATATATAAATAACCTTTTTGCCTTAACGGACAAAACAGAAGTACATTACATTCTCAAAGAACTGAACTCCTTTCATAAACACATTAAAAGTATAAGTAAACTGGAAAAATAGGAGAAAATGCCGATTAAGCCTCTATAGGATTCAAACATGACCTTTCACTTAAAATTAGGTGGTATAAGAAACCCATTGCCTTTGGCCGAATACTTAACTATAGCTGAAACCAACCAAGTATAACCATAGATACAGAAATCAGATGCACGAGAAGGTACACAACATATCACAAACAAATCGGGTCAGAATGTAATTAAAACAGAAAGTAATTATTAAAAGGACAACAAATCACAACACAACAACCTTAGAACCTACGAAAATATACAAAGCACGAATATCAAAACGCCTCAGGAACTGCTACAAGAAACAAGAAATAAAAGAAGCACACAATACATTACAAAATTTCTTCAAAAATAATAAGACAAAAATTCCAATGATGGACAAAAGTTATGTAATTATAAAAAACCATGTTGCGGGAACAACAATAATTACAATAACGTGTACATCGGTACAACAAATCAAAACTAAAACATGTAAGAGGTTCTAGTCGGGAGCTCCCAACTAGGGGATACCCTGAACCCTCTTCTTCCAACATCAAATGCATATATATATTCTATTTTAGAAGCTATATATCAGGTTTGGTGACTCCAGCTTTTATTATTTACCAAAATTGCCCAAAAACCAGCAAATCGAAATCGACTTTTATCGATTGCTTGGAAAGGGAAAAAGTTATCGATTATCTGAAACAACCTCGATCAGCGCAGGCACTAGGAGCACCTACCTCCAAAATTTCTCTAGCTCATATATAGCTCTGAGATCCTTGCGTTCATACGTTCGGACGGACGGACGGACAGACAGACGGACATGGCTAGATCGACTCGGCTATTGACACTGAACAAGAAAATATATACTTTATGGGGTCGGAGATGCTTTGTTCTGCCTGTTATATACATTTGCATTTTGCACAAATACAATATACCCTTTTTACCCATTTTCAATGGGTTCAGGGTATAAAAAAGGTACATTCCCCCGTAGAGCTCGAACACGCGACAGACCCCACCACTTACTAGGCCCATACTCAGCAGCCACACCAATAACTAAATACTTATGATCAAAAAGGAACTCAAATAGCATTACAGAAAAAATTCGCAATTACTATGGTGGTAGAATGCGAAGCAGACGCGCATGAGTCTGTGTGTGTGTACATGCATACAAAAATTCTTAAAGCTGCTGCCCCATCCAATTGCGCAGTTGCATAAAACTTTGGTTTTTTCTTAGCCGATCTTAATGAAATTTTCCCCAGTATATCTTATTGTACCATATAATATTTATGTATACTGAAAAAGTCAATTGCATTTAAATTGTGGCTTAAATTGGTTGGCAATAAAAGTTGGGTTATTTACTTGATTTATAGCTCTGGGGTGGTAGCGGGGAGGTGGCGATAGGTATGAAATGAAAGATACTTGAAATATCTATAATATTCTAGAAGCAACATATCATGTTTGGTGGCTCTAGCTCTTATTATTTACCCAATTTGCTAAAAAAAAAAAAGGATGTGGATATCGATTTTGATCGATTGCTTGGAAACGGAGAAAGTTATCGATTATCGGTAACAAACTCGATCTGCGCAGGTACTAGGAGCACCTACATCTAAAATTGCAGGTCTCTATCTCTTAAAGGTTCTGAGATCATTGCGTTCACACATACGGCCCGACAGACAGACGCCTATTGATCCTGAACAAGAATATATATACTTTATGGGGTCGGAGATGCTTCCTTCTGCCTGTTATATACATTTGCATTTTGCACAAATACAATATACCCTTTTTACCCATTTTCAATGGGTTCAGGGTATAAAAAAGGTACATTCCCCGGAAGGGCTCGAACACGCGACAGACCCCACCACTTACTAGGCCCATACTCAGCAGCCACACCAATAACTAAATACTTATGATCAAAAAGGAACTCAAATAGCATTACAGAAAAAATTCGCAATTACTATGGTGGTAGAATGCGAAGCAGACGCGCATGAGTCTGTGTGTGTGTACATGCATACAAAAATTCTTAAAGCTGCTGCCCCATCCAATTGCGCAGTTGCATAAAACTTTGGTTTTTTCTTAGCCGATCTATATGAAATTTTCCCCAGTATATCTTATTGTACCATATAATATTTATGTATACTGAAAAAGTCAATTGCATTTAAATTGTGGCTTAAATTGGTTGGCAACATAAGTTGGTTTATTAACTTGATTTATAGCTGTAGGGCGCTAACGGGGAGGTGGCGATAGGTATAAAATGAAAGATACTTGACAAATATATAATATGGTAGAAACAACATATCATGTTTGGTGACTCTAGCTCTTATTATTTACCCGATTTGCTCAAATAACAGGATGTCGATATCGATTTTGATCGATTGCTTGGAAACGGAGAAAGTTATCGATTATCGGTAACAAACTCGATCTGCGCAGGTACTAGGAGCACCTACATCTAAAATTGCAGGTCTCTATCTCTTAAATGTTCTGAGATCATTGCGTTCACACATACGTCCCGACAGACAGACGGCTATTGATCCTGAACAAGAATATATATACTTTATACAAATACAATTTACCCTTTTTACCCATTTTGAATGGGTTCAGGGTATAAAAAAGATAACCCAAATCGGACTTAAAATCATCACAATTATACGAGAAGCACAACTAATGACCCACTGTATGAAAAGTAACCACACACCAAACTCTGATGCAACAACAATACTATTTTGCGAACAACACTACAACAAACGACAAACGTTAGATATGTAACTCAACATAAACATACCAAAGTACAAACGACGAATTATACACAGAAAACTGCGGTCACTTGTATCAAAAATAAATTTAAAAATTGTTCTCGTAATAGGACTCGAACTCGTAACAGACCGCACTATTTGCCACCGTCTCTACTCAACAGCCACACCAACAATTAATTGCTTATTAAAATAAAACGAGTTAAGACAACAGCACATACACACAGCCGAGAACACAACACAAGTGCAATTGCAACGCTGTCTGTCAACATGTATACAGAAAAAGCAATTTGCGATAGCTGCCGTAAGCACCTTAATAACTTTTGTGTATCTTCCCCGATCGATCTTCATGAAATTTTCTACAGTAGATCATCACAATGATGAAATCAAATTTCATTAAAATTGTGGCTCAAATCGGTGGGCAATGCAAATTACTTGCTTTTAGCTACGTGGTGGTAGCGATAACCATAAAATAAAATATACTTGAAATATAAGTTAACAAGTAATCGCTTAGTTATTAAAGTAACCCTAGTGTGTGTTGACACACGACAGTTGAGTGCAGTGCTCTAGCTGCAACAGTCAGTGGCGGTAATCATATACTTTTGCTATGTCGCAAAAGTTTTCGTTATCGCCTAAGATTATGCTGAATCAGATTGTGTCAGATTGTTTCTCATGCCGACTTTGAATTATCGGTCGCCAGCATAAGATTATAAACATACGTGAAGTGTCAACTAATAGGCATTTGCGACAAGCTAATTAGTTGATGCCATACAGGGAAATAAAAGTTGAATACGATAGTGACGGTTGGGACGTAGAACCCATTAATAATGATCAAACACACACCCAAATAGAACAATCATGTACGCAAGCCAAGTACAGCCATTGATAGTTAAAGCTTTGACCACACAAGAAGAAAGATCTCGAACTCAATTCAGTGCTGTGGAAGCCCAGATAAGTAGTCTGCATGTAGAAACACCCCAAATTGTATCATACCAAAGAATATCAGTGAACTCAGACATAATATGCGACATTCCACTAGATATTATAAAGTCAATCCCCGACATTGACGACACCAAAGACGAATATGTGGCATGGCGTCTATCAGCCACTGACGCGTACGAACTGTTCGCACTATTTGACGGCATTAGTACCACATTACCAGGCGGTAGCTACTATCTTGAAGAAAGTGAGGGAGAAAAGACTCCAGAAAGAAACCCTCAATTCCTCAAGCGTTAGCATAACAATGCTAACCAAGAACAAAATAAGGGAGACCAACAAAGTCAGGCCCCGGGAGATATGGAAGTAGGTTCCTTATCAATATACAAGTAACCCACAGAGTTCGGGAAACCCCAAACCAATAGTGCGCTGGCGCAAAAACGACAAAACACGTCTGAACGTATGCCAAGCCCTAGGCGGCGGCGCCTTCTGCCATTCAAGAAGTGATTTATGAGAAGGAAGCCACATCCGCGGTTAACGACATAGCGGATTATAGCGATTCGTTACGTGGCAATGAGTCGGTGAATTTTTTCTCGGCTAGGGGTCATCAAACTGCATTTGACCGGGAGATCTTTAAAAATCCTAATTG